TTTATTTATAAATGTATCTTTAAAAGAAAAAGTCAAATTAAATATTTTTAAATAAAATAAAAAAATAAAAATAATTTATAACTCACATTTTCATTATCTGATAAAGAAATTAAATCAAATTCTTCATCAAAATCTTTCTGATGATTTTTTTCATCATAAGAAAAATGAAAATATCGATCAAATCTTTTAACATATGAATTTAATTTATATTGAAGCATAAAATTTGGTTCTTGATAAGTATTTTTATCAGATGAATAAACATCAACATTAGAGAACAACGGAGGACACATTGGTATACAACATATATAATACATATCATCGATCTATATTATTATTATGATAGATGTTCGCTTAGAATAACATCTTATCTGTTTTGTTTCTTGTTCTTATTATTTTCCAAAACAAGAGAATGAAGAAAAAGAAAATGATAGAAAGTACCTTAAAAGCACTGTTTTTCTTTTATTATCTAGTCTTTTTCTTTAGAGATATATATTACATCACGCAATGATTTCTTATTAGTACTAATACGGCTATATTTAGTAAAAAATAATCAATAGACTAGATAACATATATTTAGACTATCAAATGAATAGAAAAAACAAAACATTCGATATATTAATATTATCAAGGGAAAAATAGAATCACGCAAGAATTGTTATTTTTTGTTTTGTTTTGTTTTTGAAGTTAGAATGTCGTTTATAGTAATTCATTTTAAACAATATATAAAAGATAAAAAGAAGAAAATCAATCGGTAGTTTTTAGTTGTTTATTAGAATCATTTGTGATGTCAGTTGGAAAGATCTTAACATATTTATCTATCTAGTTCTAAACGATTAATGATAGAACATAACGAACTGGAAAAAAATAGAATAAAAAAATAAATCCTTGGACAAAAATCAACACATAAGAATATTAAAAAGAATTATCTATTTATTTATTTTTTGTTTTTTACATCCATCAACATTTTCCGGAGTCATATCGATATTTTGAAAAACATATTTTATCCATTGGATAAAATATCAGGAATTTTTTATCTATTATATAAAACAAAAAAAGAAAGAATTATTAATAAAAATCCTATGGGATTAAGTATAAAACGACAATGTTGTGAGTAGATGTTGATTAAATTACGTGAAGTTTATATGTGATTATGGTTCTTAGTGAGAAAATTAAATATAATAATTCACAATACATTCAATGTAATATATTAAAATTATTTGATCTATTTCATCAATCAAAACAAATAAATATGTCTATATGACAAAGATAAATTTAATATTTTTCTCAATAGATTTAATATAATAAATATTATAAATAAGTTGAATCATGAAAGGATTTAAATAAAAAAATGATTGATAATCAATAGTAAAAGCTATATATGAACGTTTGACAACTCGATAATTTGAAAATTAATACAACAATTCGACATATAAGATGAAACATTTATCATATTTTATGTTGAATTTATATGAGAATTGAAAAAGAAAAATTATATTTCTTAAGTTCTTTTGTAATTCTAATCCATTAAAAAATCTTTAACCATTTTCTTTTTTTTTTTGTTGTCAAGTTAAACATGATAATAAGTCTTTAATAAATGAGAAAAAGAATTCATGATTATATCACAAATGTCTTAAACAATGAAAAACGAGATTATTTTATTCTTCAATAATATCATATGTTTCAATAGTTTCTTCTGTAATAATTGGCATTGGTGTTCGTTTTGATGGTTGAATAGTTGATAAAACAAATGAAAGAACTTTTTCTCTTAATTTTGTCATATATAAACGAAGCATTGCTAATCGAGATAAACGTGAAAAATTAAAACTTGTTTTTGTATCAAATAAAAATGGTTCTGGTTCAGGTTCCATCGATTGAGATAATTCACTATATGATGTTCGATAATTTGCTTTCGTTAATAAAAGTGCACGTGGTGTTGCATGTTTTAAAAATGTCCATTCAATTGATGTTATATCCATTAATGATAAATGTTTTGATGAAAGTATTGCTTTTTCTTGATTTTTTATATTTAAATTTGTTAAACTTCGATAAAATGGTCGGCGTATTATTTTTGTTTCACACAATGATTCAATATCAAATGCTATTTTTGGTATTGTTGAATTTGTTCGAAGAAATTCTTCAATTGTGAAATCACAATTTGTCATTGGTGTTAATACATCACTTACAAATGATGATTGACGTGAAGGTATCTTATGTTCACCTACTTGTGATGACATATCAAATTCAAGAAAACGATTACGTAATATTTCAGCCATTTCATTAACATCATAAGATGATAATGCATCAGATTCAGGTAAATGTCGAGTAAAATCTGATTTATCCCATTCTAAATCATCTCCATATAAACTTTCTCCAACACCTGATGTTGTTGCTGTTGAACGACGACGAAATAATTTAACTATTGAATTTGATCGTGAGTTTGGATTTGAATACATTATTTCCATATATGATGTTTGTAACAGCAGTGAATCGAGTATTTATCAATGAGTTGTGAATAGAAAAATCGTAGAGAAGAAAACCTTTTTCTTTTACCTCGATATTTCTTTTTTTTATCATAGAAACAAAAAAAAAACAGAGAAAAAGCGGCAGCTGCGACACAACATAGTCCATAAACGATTGATGATTTATTAAATGACGAAAATCTCAATTATTGAGATATATACATTGGCATGCTGAATGAAGCATCAACAAGCAAATCGTACGGGCACAGCTGTGTATGCATCATTTTATTGTCCAAAAAAAAAAAAAATTTTTTTTTTTTTTGATATATAAAATCTTTCTTTTTACTCTATAACTATTTTTAAATCATTAGAAATTTCTTACAATTAATAACCAATAGAAATATTAAATTCGAAAGAAAAAGATTTTTTCTATAATAATCATATGATGAATATGTGATTCACTGAGACTAGAAAATAATATAAATTTCTATTAATATATTCATATGTATATTTTAAAACAATAAATGTAAATGTAATATTGAGTCAACACCTTGCATGTGATGTTATTATCATTGAGAAAATTTATATTGACAATTACGCTCAAAGAGACGTAAAATCGTATCATGCAACAAGTTAATATATATTGATTTGAATAAATATGTTAATAATGTTTCTCGTAAAAGAATCAAGGAAACAATTAGTTGATTAAAGAATTTCTTAAGAAATTTCAGATTAATCTAATATATGAATCGTGACTATTTATCATAACATATAATTTTCTTTCCATCAAGATTATTTTATCAGAATATTTACTATTAAAAGTATTAAGGAAACTTACGCTTTGTTTTTCTTTTTTACTAATTTTATTTTCTAGATTATATATTTTTCTGAAAATGTGCGATGATTAACTTTGTATTATTAGAATATTTTATATATACATTGAACAAAGAATCAAATGAATAGCAAGTTTCTAGAATTCAACGGGGCACATCAACCCTAATAAATTCACTATCTACATAGCGTACTATTTGTCACTTGCAAATTATTCTGAAATGAGATAGCGACATTGTTTCACATTGTCCTCAAAAGAAAAAAAAAAAAAAAAAAGGCTTCTTTGACATGAACTAATAATTATCTCAAATAATGCTTAAATATTTTCTTATATATTACTATTCAATAACTAATTTTATTTATAAAACATAATGAAAATAATAATAATAAAATCTTACTTGATTTAATTGTTTAACAGTTCGAACAGCTTCAAACCATTTTATTTTCGAAGCTGATAAAGAAGTACTATTTTTATCATTTGGATTATTTAACGAAGTATTATCTTGTTTCGATGATGAAGAATTTTGACTACTTATTGTATAATGACGATTATTCGATTCATCTAATTCCGAATGAACAAAATTCGGATTACCAGTTGGACTAGAAAAAAAAGAAAAACAAAGTTAAGTTTATTAAAAAGAAAAGAAAAAGAAAAAGAAAAAGAGAAATATTAATAAATTCTATCGAAAACAATTTTAGCTAATTCTTTCGAATGTTTTAAAACAAATGCGTGCAAATATCTATTAGTACATTGAATAATATCTCCTTTAGGATAAATTTGTTTCATTTGTTTAGCAATATGATTTGGTACCCAATGATCATTAGTACCATAATAGAATGTTATTTTATTTATAAAACGTTTTATAATTTGATCATTACGTTGTTTAACAAGAGACATTTCTTCATTTGCCATTTGTAAAAGATTTTTTATTGTTAATGGATTTAATAAATCATATAAAACCGTATCAATTAAAATTGAACGATCATCTAATGGTGAATTTGAAAAATAATATGATATTAATTTTCTTTTTAACCAATTAAATGGAAATAATAAATTAATAATAAAACATATAAATGGTAATATATAAATTAATATTGGATAAAAACGTACAAAACGTTTTCCTGCATCACTTTCTTTCATACGTTCAATTGTTGGAAAAAGAAAAAATGCTCGTTCTAATCTATTTTCAAATTTATCAAGCATATTTAAAACCATAAATGCTCCAATTGAATGACCAATTAATATTAATCGATGATTATTATTTATTGGAAGAAGTTTTTCAATTGTTTTTATTTTATGTTCAATTTGTTCGTTTAATGTAAAACAATATTTTAATGGTGGACTATGACCTGCTTGAGATATGATTAATATTGAAATATTTTCATTAAATAAATTATAAAGTTCATGACCAAATGGAATATAAAAACCACCAAGACCTGGATTTCCTGGAATAATTACGATACTTTTTGATGATAATAATGGATCACCTAATTGGTAAATATGAGTTAATATTCCATCTATTTTTATTACTTCTTGTTTTGATACCATATTTTTATTTTAATGCGAAATCTGAAACTTTATTTTAAGAGAAAAAGAAAAAAACAAAACATTTCTGAACAATTATTTCTTTCTTTTTCTTTTTTTTTATTTCTATACGTGTATAAATTAAGAAAGAAAAAAAACAAACATCTAAAATCTAGATTTTTCTAATTCAATATTTATCATAATAAACATAAATAATTAGATATGTCAAACATAGATTCTATCTTTTGATCTTTATGTCAAAACTAAATCAAACAGAATAATATCTTCAAAGTTTAATAATCAAAGAAAATTATTTTCAAACAATTTATTTATTTTACGATTTTATTTTATTTTTTAGTATTAGTTTTTTCTAACTAGTCAAAAGTTTTATCGACTTACACTAATTCGAAAAATTAACTTCCTTATTTATTTAATTCTTCTTAAAAGAATTTTTATTTATCTTTATTTCTAAAAACAAGCATAGTGACGTTTTCATAAGAAATGGTAATTTCAATACTGTCGGAAAAACTCTCAACAAAGAGAAGAAAAAAAAGGTTCTTTTGTGTTTAATGATTCGATGAATTCTTTTCCTGTAAATAAAGGTTCTCATCTGTTACTCTTTTGAGTAGTTCACCAATGAATATATTCATATGTGAATGTTGCAAAGAATATGAAATTTTAATATCGGATTACAAAAGTAGTGTTATCAACTATATGAATTAAAGTTGATACACGTGCCAATTTATATCCTTATTATAGATTCGAACATGAGACCTTTCATTTATCTATAAGATAAAACCATTCAACCAAATATTTGAAATTAACCATTGAAAAATAAACTACTTAACCGTAAATATTTGATGGCAATTCGAAAGGAAAAGTTATTCATCTGATATAGAAATAAATAATGACGACATTGTGTACGTATAGTTATAATATAAAGGAAATAAACAATAGGTTAAGATCATTCAAGAAAAAAGAAATAAAGAAACGAGAACAAGTAAATCTATTAATAGGAGATTTAGGCAAATTATTTTTCTCATTTTGTTTCATTTGTTTTTTTTCACTCACATAATTTTTTTGACAGATCGCATCACATTTCGATACCATAGAACAACAGATGCAAAATCAAAATGTTCATCGAAATTTGAATATTGACCAGAATAATAAGTGGGTATACTACAATTGTTACCATCATCATCATCACTACCATCATCGTTATCTTCTTTTTCTTCTTTTTCTTCTTCTGCTTTTTCGAGTTGTTCTTCATCTGTATTACTTCTCTCTCTATCTGTGTTTGGAATAAGTAATGAATTAGATGTTGATAATGTTCGTTTTCTATAGGTATAATGAAATGATCTATGTAAATGAGGCTGAAATTGATTTCCACGTTGTTGTAATGATAATAATTTCGCATGAATTTGATCATCAACCGATTGATTCGTTATATCGGATATTTGTTGTTGTGCAAGATATGTTGGATATGTATGTTCATTAGTATATTGTTGTTGTGGAACATCAATATAATTCATTTGTCCACTTGAATGATATGGATTATGATAAAATGAATTATTATTAGATTCATCAACTCTTCTACCATCGTCATTTGATGATGATAATGATGATGATGATGAAGATATTTCATTTTTGTTATGATTTTGTTGTTGTTGCTGTTGTTGTTGTTGACAAAAAACCGTCGATGGTATCATTGAATGATGACGGGAGAGAGAAGGGGAAGTATTGACAAGTGAATCACGTAACCATCCGAACATGGTGAACAAGAACGAGAAGCACTAGGAGCACGCTTTGCTGTCGTTCTCGTTCTGGTTTTTCTTTACCAGTAATACACATTCAATAAAAGAAATGACAGAATCTTTCTTCACGGGATTCGACGCAGCATTCTCGTCATTATCGTCTTGTATCCTATCGTGTCTTCAAGGCAATGACAAGGAAGAAGAGGAGAAGAAGAAGGAGGGTGAGAATGCGAGAATGCGTATTTGCTCATTAATAAATTAGAAAAACGACATTGATTTTCTTCGTCTTCCAGTCTTTTCTCTTTTCTCTTTTCTTTCTGTATTTATTTCGACGAGTAGTGTTGCTTAAATCTTTTTCTTTAACGCTTTCTCTTCTTTTTTTTTTTCTTTTGTTTTTTCTTTTCTATTGAAAAGCAGTCGATAGAACAGAACTTGGTCTCGTTTTTCATTTGTTCGTTTATATATGCTCTTTTTTTTGACCAAAATCAAGATCGTATATCTGTCTCTCTTGTTCTTATTTGCAAACATAGATAAAGAATCTCGGATAATTAAATAGCATTCATTTCTTTCTATATTTAGATCATTCAATTAATGTAACCGAAATCTATAAGGTAGTAGAATTTAAAAAAACGAAAATCGACTTAACAGTTACAGAAAAAAGAAAGAAAAAAAAAAAAAAAAATCTTTTTTTCTCTTTTATTCATGCATTTATATGTATAAAGTAAATACATTTAATGATAAATTAAAACTGTTTATCTATGCTGAATAACAAAATGAAGAATAGAAAAAAAAAACCTGTTGGCATATATATTTCTACGTGATGATTATTATGATAGATATTTCATTTCAATATTAAGTCATGCTCAATTTTTAATGGTAATCGTAACATATTGTCATAGAATAAATAATAAATAAAAAAGAAAAACTAATAAATCCAGTCCAACATATTTATTTGTCAGAATGATTAATATTATTAAAAAAAAAAAAACCTAAATTTTAAGTAAATGTCTTTTTTTTCTCTTTCTTTTATTGTTAGGTTTCTCCGGAGGGATTAATTTTTTTCAGACGGTATTATTCACAATTTCTTGTTTTTCTCATTAATAAACATGCAAAGTTTTTTTTTTTTTTTTCTTAAATTTCTTAATTGATCGTAATTTAATATGTTTACATTAAAACTAAAGACAAATAATATTTTCTATTTTCGAGTTACACATAAAATTATTTTAATAATTATTATTTAATAAAAAAGAAGCTTCTTAAATATATATATATATTTATTTATGAATATATATATATTTAACATGCAAGGTTAAGGTGCAGATTAATCTTCCTTTAAAATTGCTAAAACTGAACACAAGTGTCATATTTTTATTTTATTTTTTTTTTTAAATTTAGTGCTGATCGCATGCAGCATGAGCAGCAAACATAGTTTACCTGATTTATTAATTTTCTTTCTTTTGCTTTTCTAATTATATCATATAGACAAAATAATATTAAGAAGAAAAAAAAATTCTTTTGTTTTTCTTTTAAAACTGATTGACTTACTTTTGTTCTTGAGAAAATTGTCTTGTCATTTTTCTTGGTTGACTAACATATGATAATGGTTCTTGTTGAGTTAAAGACTTCGTTTTTTCTATTAAACCGTGATTAACTCGTCGTGATGAATCACGAATAACTGGTTGAACAAATGCTAATGGTTTTTTATTTATTCCTGTTGGAAGTAAATCTTCATTTATTGATGATATTGCATTTGATTGGGACATCGATACAACTGGATTATTTATATTTACTTGAGAATTTATAGAATATGATACATCCGATGTATAATCACTATCATCCGAAACTAAATAGAAATTAGAATTTTGTTTTTGTTTTTGTTTTCTTTGAAAGTAAGTTCATATTAAAATACTTACAGTGTGAATGAGAGCGATTACTCAATTGTCGATAATGGGGAGGATTCTAAAAATATATAAAAATATTTGTGTATAAATTAAAATATACATGTATTTTATAATATAAAGTGATTCATTGGAGTTCTATTAGGACGGTTAAGGTGAGAAGGGAAACAGAAAAAATAAAATATATATAAGATGATTCGTTATTTCTTGTTGTTGATGGAAGGATTTCTACCTGTTGCATATGATTCTTTTTTAATCCTTTCACGCGATACAATTTGATTGGGCTAACATTTTTTTCTATCAGCTTCATGATCAAAATGAGAAAGAAGAAACATTATTCATTACTTTTTTTTATCCTTAATATGTTTCACTGTAAAAAAAAAATTTCCGTTTATGCATTACCTCAAGAAAACTAAGCGCTATTTTAGATTTAATTTTAAAGAATAAAATTATCAAAAAAAAAAAAACAATTTTTTTTCTTTGATGTATGTTTTTGGTCAAACTAATATAAAAATTATTAAATTTTCTTCGATTATAAGAAGAAGAACAATAGTTCTGCTTTTCCACTACCTCGCGGTATGGAATACTGCCTAGCGGTAGATTCATTAGCCCGATATCTTCCCTATAGCTAATAGTAGCTGTAGTTCTGAACAGAACGCCGGCTTAATGTAGAGTTCTTGCGCTCAATCGTTGAAGCTCCTCGTGCATACTGATTAACTACATACTAGTCGTAAGATCAAGCCTATGTCATAACTTAGTCAGAATGTTATCCGACAAGTAATTCGAGACAAACTATCTTTAGTGATTTGTCCATAGTCAATCCATGACTAGTAGTACTAAGATTTAAACATAGTACCTATTGGACATATGCCGATCATTATAACCACACAGCTATAACAATCTCTCCGATAAGAAGTACGTATCATGAAAATCTCTCTGCACTAAGCATTTATTGTAGTAAAATATTTCTCTTAAGTGTTTCTTATAAGTTATAGCTGTTGCAATATTACTAATAGACTTTTTAACTAACTCATGTGCTTCACACTAATCAAAAATCGCTGGTAAACCGTTTTGTATAATGTGCGTCATACTGATGGTTGTCTGATACTTTGACGATGGACTATTATTTGACCGAAAATCTACTGTCGATATACGGATGGTAGTGCGAATAATCGTGAGACATTAAATAGAATTTAAAACATATGTTTTAGATAAAAAAAAATCAATTAAGAGAAATTTTTTTGAATAACTATTAAGAACTATTTTATCGATAAAGAAATTAACGATTTATTAAATTATGATAAAATCCAATGAAAACAAATTATTTTCTATGTTTTTGATGTAATAAAAGTTTAAGTTAATTAATCAAACTTCCAAATTAGATGATTAAATAATAATTAAAAACAAAATCTATGAATCTAAACATTTTACCTGTATGAAAAAATGCGTAAACCACTCGTTAATCATTAGATTAAAAAGAATGATGTATTTAGCAGCGTAAAACTTATGCCTATTTACTTTTAGATATAAATTTCATCACATCATGAATTTATATCATGGATAAAAAAAAACAAAAAGATAAATATTTTTAGTAACAAAAAAATCTTTAGATTGTCAATACAAAAAATAAATATAACAATCTGGTTGAATAAAATTATCTGTTAATGGGCGTTACGAATACATAAAAACTTGGCTGATGAATTCGACAATATAATGTATACTGATTGACATGTTTCGATTTTTTTTTAATGAATAAAGTTCTTTTGATAGTGATATATTCTCAAAATTCTATTTAATTCTTAACATAATGACTTACAAACATTTTTTTTTTCTCAAACGTAAATACTTTACAACGTTTTAAAGTAATAATTGCAACCGAAGAAAAACAAACTCATGGACCCTAAAATTCTTTAAATCTATAACAATCTATTCGTGTTAACCTAGAATGTATACTGAACTGTCAACAAGATAGTTTACCGAATGTGGCCTTGGAAAAGAAAAAAAAAATTGCGATGTAAAAATTCTTTTAGATGAACTCAATTTTTCTGTATGAAAGTTTACTATTAATTATATTGATCAAGATCTTTTTAAACATATCAAGAAAAGACTTTTAGAATGATCTATATATATATATATATTCAATTGTATTTCTTAATCATAAGGTACCATGTTTAGCAATGGAGATGATACAGCGAAAATTCTCTACTTCAAGATTATGTCAAATATATCCTCTAGAACTTTTGAGTTCTGTCAAGTCTATTATTAATGAATGTCACGAACATATTAGTTTAAGTTCATCTTATATAAGTCTTTCTGACAATAAAGTTCAAATGCTTCATCGTACTTCACTGATACTCAAATATTGAAGTATGATGAAGTATTTTGAATTTTAATACCAGAAAGGCTTATATAAAGTAAATAAAACTAATTTATTCGTGATACACGTTGATAGTAGATTTGAAATATCTAAAGAATTCAGGATGATACATTTGACATTATCTTGGTGTAGAGAATTTTTTGTTTTTCCAGCTTTATATATTCATAGATAATAAACTTTAGTTTTTGACGAATAAATGAGTCGATATATTCTATTACATTGTATACCTTTCTTTTTTTTTTTTATGTTGATTTTTAATTATTTATTTGTTAAAAATAACTTTTAACGACAAGGAAGAAGCATTATTTTCTTCAGAACATTTTAAAAAAATATTTTATTTATCATTTGAAGACACGAAAGTTTTAGTTTGATTTAAAAAAAAACATGAGATATATTCTTGTTGACATTTTTTAAATAAACTGAAATAAATGTTAAGAGATGTATTGTACTCGAATATTTTCACTTGATTTAATATATTTAAAATATATATTTAGTTAATTGATTATAATCTATAGTTTCATAAGACAAAGAAAAACATTTTAACCTGCCAACTAAATAATCTTATTAGATTTATTGTGTTTAACTGATGCATAAAAATTGAAATAGTCTAGATTCTAGAAACTAATCGGAGAAAAGATTGAGAGAAAAATGACTTATTCTATTCATGTTTATGTAAATCT